GGGGTCAAGCGAACATATCAAATCTGCAGCCCCCAAGTATGAATTCCTTGATTTACCCGGTAAAATAAACTACAATATTGATTCCTAAGGGTAAGCACTTACSAGATAARCATTTAGGTAAACGGTCCCTTAGTCATGGTAACTAAAATTTGATAATGTTATTTTTCTCAWTTCATTTTTTTTCTCTTATAGGCATGTGTTTTTTTTATTATTATCTCAACTAATTAACTAAAGCCTTCAAATTTTATTTTACAGACAGTAACTTCTTTTGGGAGGAAACTGCTACAAAAGCACTCTGGCGTCGAAAATGTAGCAGAGTGACATTGGAAAGATATTTGTGTATATTCTACAGCTGAGTGCTTAATTGTTCATCTGAAATAAGTATAAAGGTAATTAGTGAGGCATGTGTAACAAACAAATTCTAAACATATATTCATTTAACAAACAAATTCATCACCAAACCAACATCCGCCTAATTATCTACAACCATACATAATAGAATGGGTTTTAGAGTATGGGTTCATTATGTTATTATATAAACCAAACAGTCTCTTTTATTTTCAATCTCATTATTTACTGCTTAATACCTCCAATAAACACCCCCTAAGTGATAAACACTTTCCCGAGGCATATATAAGTTTCAAATTATTGTAGTTAGTTTCTCATTGCAAACCACAATAGTAAAGCTTATATTTCTTTGATTAGCTAAAAACATGTAGCTACAAACAAGTAAAAACCATCTTATAGATATGGAAAGAGTTCATTTAGACTCACTGATCAAAAACAGCTATGTACTTGTTCGATCAAATGATCGATAAGTCTATAAAACTGTAACCTAACACTGGAAAGCTAAAGAGAATTTGGTAAAAGAAATCATCAAATAAAATTAAAGACCAAAATATATGGTTCCATGCATGGAATTATTTGCCATGTGGATCATCATAAAAGCAATTAGAAGTTTACCTGTAGGGCCTGTGAAGTATGCAATTTGTCATTTGAATTTCCACGATCACAAATTCGGAAATAAAAGCAAAAAGTTAAGAAAGTTTATGAACAAGCGCCTTTGCAATTTCAGATTCCCCAAGTAAAAGTAAGTTGAAAAAAAGAAACGTGAATTTAATTGTGAGACTTACTCTGTTAGAAAGCTCAAACGTTCCGCAAGTGGAGTAAGCCTAATCAAACTCAAAGCAAAAATCCATGGCTACGAAACCAGAGATACTAATCAGAATCATATACTGCATCAATGTATCGTATATACAAACTTGCATGAAACAATTTATGTTCAACACTTACTCTACCGTAACTGTAACGTTGAGCGACAAACGCCATTGGAATGGCCGGAAAAAGCACGAAAAGCTTGGTTCCAAATATGACTTGTCGAACATTCTCGAAAACCATCTGTATGAAAAAACCATCTGTATGCACAAGTAAAGCTTATATATCTCTGATTTTTGAGAAAGAGTGTTTACTTGCAAATGAAAAAACCATCTGTATAACAACCAAACAGCCCTGTTTGATTCAATTTTCTGCACAAGTAAAGGGCTGTATAACAACCAAACAGCCCTGTTTGGGAAAGAGCGTTTACTTACATTAAGCACCTAAGATGACTTGAGGAAGACTTTGACAATTATATATCTCTGATTAGCTAAAAACATGTTAGCTACAAACTTTGCACATTTATTGTGGAACCATATTAAAGCTCATACATATAAACTGATTTTTGAGAAAGAGTGTTTACTTGCAAATGAAAAAAAAAACATCTGTATAACAAACAAACAGCCCTGTTTGGTTGTTATTTTATGCACAAGTAAAGGGCTGTATAACAACCAAACAGCCCTGTTTGAGAAAGAGTGTTTACTTACATTCAGACAGATTTTTTTTAAATCTATGGTGTTCTAACACGTTTGAGAATATCACCGCTTAACAAAAGAATGCCACTTATATACACAAGAATGCATAGAACCTTGTAAGAAGGTCATAGATTTCAAAAACACCTGTCAGGAGGTCCTAGATTCAAAAAACACTTGTCAGGAGGTCAGTTAGCTAAATAACCCATGAGAAACAAACATAATGAGGTCACTACCAAACATCGAAAGAAACAACCCAGACTTGGTTTCTAAGAGGATCAAGCAGATAAATCTAGGTTCATGGTGAAAAACCATCAAAAAGTCTAAAGTATCTTTCCATTCTCATCTCCTATTTCCTGTAAACTCCAACCTTATATCTAGTGAATTTCTGAAGTTAATAATCAGGGCATGAAGCAATTTAGAAGTGAGCATGAATACACAAACACAAAGTCAATAAGATGAACACCACCGTATTTTAGATTTCTTCACTGGGACATGATTTTCCAAAATAATCAAGAATATGTAGTGATGCAAATAACAAGACCATGACTAAGTATTATTCTGGCAATGAATATCCAAGCTAACCAACAACTTCTTCCTTATCCAAATGGTTTAAGTAATTAAACAAGTGAATCCCTAATAACAAACATAATATAGCACACCTCCTGGCTCTACTTGTTATCAAGGTTAATTCATATAGTGAGGTCTATTGCATCATTATTGGTTGCAAATCATGTCACTGTGAAAGAACTCTAAAATGTGGTGGTGCTCATCTTTTTGACTGTGCGTTGCACACTTCTAAATTGCTTCATAAACATGTCCGAATTATTTAATTTAGAAATTCACCAAATATAAGATTGGAGTCTACAAGAAATAGGAGCCTCTTTGGAGCCTGTTTGTTTAGATACGATGAAGAATTATGCGCAACTGTGCACGAACACTTGCTGCTGTGATTCAGACAAATACCCAAGAAACAGAATAAATAAATACTCAGTTGGGTTCTGCACATTCTCTGTGCAGAGTTTGCTTTACAGCAGTATTAGCTCCTAGAGGAAACCTAGAATAGTGGAGAAAAATGGTAAATTGCTGATTCTTGGAGGTTTCTAATCAAGAAAGCATCTAGCTTTGTTTGTTTTCCAACACTGGAAAAGAAACAAAGAAAGCGGTGGTGGTGGAGAAAAAATGTCTACTAAGGTTATGTACAGCCAAAGAGAAGAAGATGAACAAGAGATACAGAAGCAATTAGGATGTATGAATGGCATTTTTCAGCTTTTCGATCGGCGTTACCTATTGGGTTCGAATATGTATGCATGGGAAAGAAAGACTACATACAAAATCTACAACTATGTTTTACTAATTGAGAATTAATGCTGCAACTATGTTTTAGTAAACCAAAAAAGTCATGGGTGAGCAGAATAAAGGTGGAATATATTTCGGCTGATTACGATAAAAACTAACTAACTAATATACATTAATATGTTCAAACAAAAGAAATATGATTATGATATATGGTAGTGAACTTTGAGCCTTAGCCATCTTAAGTTCCAAGACAAAAACCTTCAAAGATATGCACACAACACTCAAGTGTAC